TAGCGCTTACTCCGGTAGAACAAAATGCTTACTGAGGGTCAACTAACTGTTTATGAGTATTTTAGGTGGATTTTTAATGTTTTGCCAACGAAACATAAGTATTTTTGCCAGTTTTAGAGGTTTTGAGTTCTTTTTGAAGTGTTTTGGAGTCGCCTATAATTAATATGTTTACCAAAGGGAAGCCAGCCGTTTAAATCTGTTCGATTGACTCTAATTCAAGCCGGATCCTTTAAGAAGAGAATTACCACCATTAATCGTATACCTTTGAACTCCACAAACGAATACTGGACTGAAAGTCGCGCTCTCATAATTCCTTCTTCATGGCCAGATCGATTATGCGGTAGCGTTTTTGAAAAGAAATGGAGCTTTGACGATCTTCTCACAATAGTAGCGTAGCCAAAACTGGGAAGTCTTAGGCATGTTTTAAGCGATGACTCACTGACTCCAGAGTGCAGTGAGACTATGAGGAACCTCATAGAGGTTTAGTCTTCTGCAAGTGCGATCAAATCCTTCTGCACAATTCTTAACTAGTTGTTAGTTTCAAGTAATATTAAGCAATGATGAAATTAGGAACTTTTGCCGATCACCGTCTTCCAACAGTTCATTCCAATTTTAAAAAACAACAAAGAGTTATATCCTCTCGCAAAAATTTCTAATAAACCTGTTTTTCCATACCGATGAATCCTACTGTATGTATGCCTCCTCTGATAGAAAAGGAAGTGAGGAAATAGTTATTGCTAACCGGGAAGGTGAACTAGCTTCAAAGAAATCGGAAAAAAAAATTATCGGCTTATTGAAGTCGTAAATAACTCTCATAATTTGTTTTTCGTTTTCTTATTTCTCACTGGAATTACAAATATGCCACAAAATCTCGAGAAAATCATTGAGTCATTGAAATCGCAAATAATTACTACTTTTTTAGCCAATTTTCATTACTCACCATTACCAAATCGTCCCAAAAGACATGAGAAATGACAAGCATTTTTGTAGAAATGGATTCTTAATCATTTTTTGCTAACTTTCAGGTCAAAGATTGCTTGAGATGTTCTAATGTGTCAGCAAATAAAGATAAGATAAAATTTAGGCTAAGCAAAACATGTTAGGGCATCGTATAGATGAGTTCCAACCGTT